CTGGATAGGAGCTCCTTCCTCATGCTTTTCCTCTAAGTTCACCGATTCCGTCTCCAGGAAGCCTCTGATGTTGTAGTTCTATGAGGTCTGCCGACAATCCGGCGCAGGCGGAATTCGAGCTCGGGAATCCTCTGTTGCCCGAGCTCCTCGGCGAGACTGCCCGTACGTCGATTCCCCGCGAGTTGAAGTTGATTCCGAGCGAAGGAATCGCCGGAAGGTAATCAAGGAGACAGGGTGATGATGGATCATATCTTTAGTTCAAAAGCGGAATTCCCCTCTCTCGTAATTTCAAATCCGCCAATCGAAGAACTTCCGGAAGGGAATTGATCGTCTGAATGAAGAGTTCTCTAGTCTTCCGGAACTCCGAAATTTCGGATCCGACGCTTTGAGCTTGACATCAGGCTGGTGGCAGAAATCCGGTGAGGTATGTATGTATGTCCTAAAGCTGACTTGGCCCGCTGACCACGGGTCGAGGAAGACTTTCGCAAGCGATGCTCTGCGAGAATCCGCACGGGGATTGTCTCGAGGATTGAAGCCGTGCCTGAGATGTCTCGGTTACTACTGAAATCCCTAGCTCAGTTTGCATGAATATATCAGGTGGAGTTTCCAGATGATGCACCTGAGATTTTTCTTGCGAAGGGAAATTCTCGGGAGTGAGAGAATGGCGCCTCTACCGGAATATCTCGATTGCCGAACATCTCGGATATCGACGAAGAGAGATTAGAGATATTTCGGGGACGAGCAAACTCGCTGGCCGAGCTTGGCATTCATTCACATCCGATTCATACAACGAAAAGGAGTTCGTGCGGGGGTCAGAGGCAACGAAGTATTCCCCTGAACGTAAGAGTTCGGAGAGGGGGATTCCGGGGTCGGCTCCTCCAGCCACAGGTTATATCAATTATGAATCCCTTCGCATATCGAAGCGTGTCGGCATGCATTCACGTGTACGGCTTCATGCCTATGCGTACTCATATAACGAGTGGAATCATCATGAGGAGCTCTCAATGCTCCTGTTCAAATGCCCAATCACGCATATAAGTTTGAGCTATGATTGTGTTCCCCATCCATTTTGATTTTTTCGAGATGGACTCTTGAGGGAAAATTTCAGGTATACGGAAAGAGCTCGACGACGCTGTATGATCGCACTCTCTGTGACAGTACCAGTGGAATCCCTCTTGTCGCAAAGAGAGTCGCAAGTGCCGCTGATCGCCGTAATATTTTTCCGCACCGCAGAGGATTTGACTCATTGCGACATGAAGAAGTTTCGTCTGACTCCCCTCCCGACCGAGATGGCATCAGCTATCTCGGGAGAGGAGAATGAGTCGGCTGTTCGAGCGAGCTCGCTTGCTCGGGGATTATCGACATCTGATGTCAGAGTGCCGATATGAACGGAGATGTTCTCTAGTGATGGGGAACATCTGACGCGTTAATGGTTCAGGAGGTCCTCCATGGGAGCTCCCCGACTCGAGATCCCGAGGGTCATGGTCTGATCCCTGTCTCAAGCGCATCCACTTTAAAAAAAATTGCGAGCATCGCTATCCTTCAGCGCTTCATCGGACTCAGAAAAGGAGGAGTCCAGGACTCCGGGATTAGCTCTACATACATGTATCCGAAGACCGAAGATGGCATCCCCCCGAGATGGCGTGGGCGCATAAAGGTCGCCCGGCATTACCAGCGCTCGATCATCACCGAACGGAATGAGAAAAAAATCGACAACCGGGCGGACTCACAAAGGCGACCCCGTCGGCGAGCCAATGATATCCGATGCAGAAGGGCATGTTGCCGAACAGAGAGCACTGAAATCAGACGAGCAAATCCGAGAGAAGGTGAATGGGTTTACCTGGGGATAACGTTGAATAAAACATCACTGAGGGAAAGCGAGGCAAGAGAAGTTGTGGCAGCCATCTCGCTCGCATGTGTACAAAACACTGCAGCCCCAATGGTCGGTCGCTGTCCCGAGCAATCCAGATATTTGCATCCTAGGATCACTCGATCGTCTGTGTCATGAACACGCCCAGCGTACCATAAATTTGAGCCACCATCAGTTTATGGTCCCCAATCAGATAGGCAAATATTTCATTCAGATACTTCCGTCGACCGTCAAGACGGGCGGATAAGCATCCATTTGGGGGCTCGATCATTTTCCTGCTGAGCTCGCGTGATTCTCTGACAACGAGCACATCTTCTGGGAGCACGTCACAGGCCCATGATACTCAATTCTTGAGGAGCCTTCCCGGGGGGCACTCAGAATATAATACGTTCGTGGTGGCGAATGTTCCAGATGCGAACTCTTGATATAAGTCAATAGATATGATGATATATCAGATGCGCACAGAGCGAGACCCTTCCCGGGCCAATCCCCGATGCCGTTAGGACCAATGACATTGGAATGAAAAGTGACACCTTTCCGGAAGGAAATTGCGAGTGGTGGCGCGTCAATGCGGACGCGGAATACAGAGTAGCGAGCGGCTGCTGCCAGACGTCATCGTTCCTGTTGAATGAGAGTGGTGCACAGGCTCACATGCATCCTGTCGTGTATTCAGACCACCAGTCGACCGGGTTTTGTTTTTTTCATCTCGCTTATGGACATGAAGAATATCATGAACCTCTCCACAAAATGAAACTTCCTTGAAATTTTGAGCCCGTATCAATGAAATGCGTCGCGAGAGCGGCTCGGAACGCCACCCTCTCATTCCCAGTGGAGATGGGTGTCGGACGACTCATCGGAGGCTGACCGGAGGGTCGAATGATCTGCAGGAAGGTCAGACGAGAGGGAAGATCAACGAGGACATTGTCGAGGGAATCGTTTTTCCCAGTCTTCGAGGTCAGCCATGGTCTGGCTTCCTCAGTTTCTGCTCCCTCTGTGTGGTTCAAATTCCCTCAATCTACGGCGGAGCCACGTGCTCTTCAGACGAGCTCCATATCTTCTGCTCTCTTGGACCGCTCTTTCTCAGCTCAAATTATACAAGCGTGGGCGAGGTCAGATGATAGAGCTGGCTTCTGGATTCGGAGCCGCCCCGAGCGCTTGAATGGAGCGGGGAATTTCCGCGCCCCGCCGAAATATTCGAACGAGTGTCATTTTATAAATAGAGCGTGACGACTTCTTTTCCGCGGTACTTTGCTCCCAGCTCCGGAGCCGCGGGAGGGACCCCCATCGACGTGATGTTCCCCTCTGTGGTTTCATCGCATCGAATCGGCGCAGGAACGGCGTCCGACCGCACTCGGTCTACCACCAATCGACGGAATTTCGCTGCCGGCGATCGTTTCCTCGGTGGGGAGGGACTTCTATTGTTCCATGACGCAGAAGAGATTGCTGCCGGTCGAGCGCCCAGGCAAGGTCAAGTGTTGGAGCCACATCCGTACTCATATGTTTTCCTCTCGCTCGAAACCTTTTCAACCATAGCGCTGCGCTGAGCGCTCACGGTCGGGCGTTAGGATGAAAAGCACCCTTTTCGCGAAATTGAGGCGTCTAGCTGGCGAATCTTTCCAGCTGTTCCTAACCACGCTCAACGCGCGCCCTCCCGGAGATGCTAGCTACAATAATATTAGTTAGTCGACTGGTTGGGTGGCTGTCTGGCTGGCTCGCTCGCTCGCTCATTCACTCAGTTCAGGCACGTTCGGCAAGCTCCGCCACGAGACATTTGGCTCAGAGAGAAGCTCTCTCTCCGGAGAACCAATTCGATTCGGAACGCGAAGAGAATAAAAAGCCTCAGAATGGTTTCACTTTCCCGCATTGCGCTCGAACACTTTCAGAAAGAAACAGATCTGGGTCGCATCCTACAATCGATGCTGCGCCTCTCGCGATATTTTTCGCGACGAAGACTCAAATATATCGATTCCATCGCGTATTTGCTTTTCAATTCTCGCAAAGTGTGCCGCATCGTATTCTGTCATAGCGTGATTACATCTAGACTTCCGAGACCTCGATGAAAGCGCAGTATCGCTGAGAGTGGAATTCTCAAGTTCTCAGATGAAGATAGCTTGCACAACGAGCTCATGCCTGGCACCGCCACTTTTGAGCATTGTAATGGAGTTCCCGCGCGGGTCAGCTCCGAAATGTCGCCTGTAGAAACAACCGCCAGTGGGTTTGGTGCTCGAGCAAAGATACGCCGAAAAGTTGAGGCTGATCCATTCAGCATCGCCACCAATGTTTTTCACGGAATGTGCGGGCCCGGATTCCACGAATGCCGAGCTCGGTACTCTCGCCACCTTTGGAACCCTTCGCTCAGACCTTATTGGTCAATTTGCATGCTCGGTCGAGAGCCCTCAGCTATCCTCTCCAAACTCCGATGAGGGTTCACGATTTATTCGGCCGATGGTATTTGATAGCATATACATGGGCTGTGAACAGGGTGAACTTGGCTTTTGGAAAAGGAGCATTCTGGAACTGAACCATGAAACGTTAAGGTTTATTGACAGAATCCTCCCGCTCGATATACAGTGCGGATACCGATCTCAATATTCCATTTTTGACATTTTTCAACCAGATAACTTTGGTTCAAAGCTGAACGCCGACCATCGAGACATCCCAGAAGTCCACAAGCTGTACGTTCTCATTTATTTTACATCACATTCAATCGAGGCTCGGAACTTCGGAATTACTTCCGGACGCTTCCTGTCGCAGCGACACTCTTCCATTTAAATGATCACATTATGAAATATCAGCGAGATCTGGAGTTTCCTGCTGACTGTTCGCTGTACAATTTATACAAAACAGATGCCCTTCTCGCGGCGAATGATCCGAACTTTCTAGATGCAAGATTGGTCGCACTACTTCACTAAACGAGATGTCCTATGCCCAAAAGTCACCGTATTCTATGACGGGAACCGAGCGCATATTCTATGGATCTTACCGATCGACATGGATCGACTCTCCGAGATGATTCGCTCTCCATGGATATAATACACACCGACCTGGGAGTCGCTCGAAATATTTCGATCAGCATTAAGGATGCGTCGCTCCTAGCAAACGACCTACTGGAGGGAATCGAGGCTTCGACGTATCAGGGGAAGAACTTAGAACGAAACGTTGTATATCCGAGGTAGGGATAAGACAGCTCGAGAGCGTCGATGTGCTTCTCTGTATGGACACTATGTACAAGAAGATCATGTGGCACCGCGTACATTCACAGTATGCTACCTACAGTACTGGGACGGTGACCGTTGGTACTACACTGTATGTAGCGATGCTTGAAGCATGAGGTAAGTTGAATTTTCCGTTTGAATTGAGCGATAACCTCCTGGTTACAGAGGCAGAACAGGATCGCCACGGCCAGACCCTGCAATAGGACACCGTTAGTGTTTCGATTGAATGGGTGCATGAAAAACTCGTGTCGCCTCGGATAAGGAGCCTTCCCAAACCGAAAAACTCTCGAGGTCTTTCGTTCATTTATTAACTCGTTCGTTCGCCCCCTCCTTCCCGCACGGGATCGCGGAGCTCACGGACGAAGGTCGTAGTAGGAAGCGTTCGTCGGACGGTAATTTCTAATGTGCACAGGAGAGAATCTCAGAGGTTGTCGTAATAGCTAAGAATAGTCCGGTCTCTTTTGTTCGCGGTATCTTTCCGGAGAGAGCTCGCCCGATTTTTCTGCCGACACGAGGATATGGTCTCAGCGAAGGACAAGTTAGGGTGCACCTATCTGACAAACCTGATATGATGTTGTTACGGCCGAGTAGATTTCGTAAGCTTCGTAAAAGGAGGAGTTGAAGCCCGGTCTGAAGGGCGTGAAAATATAATGCAGCCCCAACAATGGCAGCAGAATCAGCGCGGCTCGTATCGCTTTGATTGGAACAGAAGACTCTTGCGAAGACTGAGCGGGCGCCTTGAGTTTCGACCAGAGCACGCGGACGATGTTGATGAGAAAAACGAAATTCACGATTATAGACAAGGTGATCGGAATGCTCAACACGAACGTGTAGATCGTAGAGGCGTCTGTCCAACAGGACGCCGATGCTGTGGGGTCCAAGGCGCGCGGTACAGCGTAAGCGACGATGATCAGCGCCGGAAGGATCCATCCGATCAGATAGAAATAATATACAAGCTTCTTCTCGGACACGAACGAGAAAACGAGCACCGTGTGCAGATAGAGTCCCTCGTTGAACATCCAGAAATAATTCGACAGCAGAAAGTAGTGCGTGATCACATGAAGGAGCTGACAGGTCATTGAGTTGTTGACCAGGAATGTCTCTCTTGAGGCTTCGATGTACCACGCCAGCCAACAGAGGTTACTGATGATGAATGAGGCGAAAAGGTTTTTGTGAATGGTCACGCGCACGCAGTGCAACGCAGAACGGAAATAGAAGAAAATCGCCAGCGACAGACTCAGAGCAATTAGAGATACCGTATAACCGCTGATGTATATATTGACTCCGATTTCGCTCAGACGCAGCTTGTCGACGCTCACGCAACCCGAGTAGTCGGCCCAGCGGTGACGATTGGTCGCTCGGTTGTAGGCCCAGCTTCCGTTCTTATGACAAACTTTGCTGGCCTTCAGCTTGGATATGAATCCGGGAACGAAGTGCGGACAGCTGATCGAAGCGGTTTCTCCAGGGGGAGTGTCTTTCCAACAGCCCCAGCCGTCGAAGTGGCGCTCGCAGTGAACGCCTTCGGTGCGGTTGGAGTCGAGCAGAATCTTCTCGAGGCACCGTCTGAAGTAAGTTATTTTGACTTCGGCGTCTTCTCCTGGTCTGTATGGATCCCATGGACGTGCGTAGCGCTTCTGTTCGGCTTCAGTCAAGTCGTCGATGAGTTTTCTGTCGCTGGCGAAGGATTCTGTCGCATGATGCAGATTGCACACTTTCTCGTAGCCCGAGACATCGTGCCACGACCCATTCGGGAGACATTCGTATGTCGCTGTCAGCAGAGACGAACCCGGACAAGTGATATCGAAGCCTCGGCTATCGCTGCTCTGCGGGAGGCAGACGAAGCCATTGAAGAACGGAGGACACTTGTCATCTGTCGCCTCTCTAGCCAACAGGTCGCACTTCACCTTCTCGTTGATACGACTCATCATGAGGTGCACATCTTGTTCTTTAGCTGCGGTGCACCCCAGGCCCAATAGAAGCCAGAAGAGCATTGCGCTCGTCAAAGAAGCATGGCGTTGCTGGGGAACTCTCGGCGACTCACTCGGGCTCGTTGTACTTGATGCTCGAGCAGACGGCTCCGAAAACAGAGTTTGCAGCCTGAAAAGATACAAAACGAACATCGGTATAGCGAAACTACGATATTTCGGAACCACGGCCTCTCTCGGATCTAATCCACTGCTCTATCCAATCAATCTTACCGGAATCCTGATTTCTGATCGACAAGAATGTCAGTATCTCTCGAAAAAAGGTCCCCCACATTCAATGGCCGAACACTCCGAGGAGGAAGCATATCAAGTCGACTGACCATCCTCACATCATCAGTCCACCCCTTACTCGTCCTCTCCTCGGAGAGCTCCTAAACTTTATGAAATTTTCTTGGCCCTGATATCATTTAATTGACCGTTATCAGGATTAGTTTGTCTCAACCACTTGTCGTAAAGCCACGCCGGCTTTCCGACTTCCGAGTCTTTTCTCACTCGCGCCCAATCTTGCACCATTTTCGCCTGAAATTGCTGACGGGGTGGGGAACGATCACCGAATTCCCACCGTAGAATCAGACGATGGATTGTCCGATAGGTCGCCTTTCATACGAGGGAAGGCGAAGTTGTTCGGGGACTCCGGAGGGTCGTACTCACAATGAGACCGGCGCTATTTGGCAGCCGAACGGTGAGAGAATAATGGATCTATCACTCTAGGAAAAATTGATAGAACATTCTGTCGAGCGTGCCTCACACGCCTCTGCTGCAAGATCGAGCTGACGACCAGCCACATTTTTCGACTATCGGAGGCTTGCTCCTTTCGATACGAGGGCTGGAAGGAATCCGAGCTTCTGTATCGAGGATGATATCGAAAAGAAGCCATGGAATCGCGGGAAGACTTTCGAGTACGTTTCTTTTGACTCCGGAAAGCTTCAGAAAGAACAGGCAAGTGGCGTGGACGTCACGTATCATGGACTCTGTATTCAGCCTTTCTCTCGAAGCGTCTTGGAGTACACGAGATGTGCGGTGACCCCTTCCTGCAGAGATTTTCTCGCTGGAGCGCAAGCCCGATTCTTCGATTCCGCTTTGACAATGAAATGAGACCATGTTCCCGTAGCTCCAGAGAAATCGAAAACCGCGAGGATTCGAATGCGCTACCTGAACGTATCAGGGGGGGGAATCGTCGCTCAGAATTTCTTGTCGGCGATTCGATATTCGGGAGCTCGTTCTTATTATCCCGAGGAGAATTCGGGTCCAATCTAAGCAGCAGAAATGGAGACGCGTTTTTAGCCATCTACAGCACCGCTTAGCATATGCATTCATGATCAAGCATGAAAAAAGTTCTCCTACTCAATGGTGCTCCTCGCATTCAAAATGAGCAGTGTGCTCCGCTATCCGTCGTTAGCCCATCTCTTCTTTGTTTTCTCTAACTCCGCGTGCCCCTTCACCTGATCGTGAGCGGTGATGTTGGGGAACTTCGCTGGTGCTCGAAAACTCAGAAAGAGCTTCTCAATTTTCTTCTCCCTCATTCTTCCTCGCGTCCGAGTATCCAAGCGGGATATGTCTTTCTTGACATCTGCCCCTTTCGCGAGTTCTCATCGATCTTGGAGCAGTCGAAATATCGCTTCGGCAAGATGGAAAATATTATTGAGGATTGATACAAGCTCATTCAGCCGAGAGAAGAGGTTGCAAAGGAAAAGATCTGCAGCAGTATACCTTCCCGGGTTTCTCCATCCACAGCCGCCGGGAATATCGACTATTTAGCGGGAGGGTCTCGCCCGTCCACCGAAAAGGTATGGTTCTCGATGTGGTATGACGCACCGCCCCGATGGTCGGAACTCGATAAGGCTGCAGAATGGATTCAGGCTCAATATTGCGTCTCCAGACTTTCTCTCCCTCTGGACGATAGACTTTTGAATCACGACTAGACAGCATCGGGGGCCAAGACTCCTCGATTAGCCAACGAGACCCCCGAGAAGTGGAGCACGAACAAGCAGCCTTTCCGCTAGCGGGATTTCCCCCTACTCGGGCGAAAATTCGTGAAATCGACGCGATGTACTCGATTGCGGAGATACCGACCCCGGGTCATAAGGTGCCAGGCGGGTTTGCTCCCGGTGATCCGTGGCTTGCGTGTGAGTTTGGGTTCGGAAGGCCACCATAGACTTGCGCCTCCTTGCGGTACGGTGAGCGAGATTGGGGACGCTGTATATCAATATCTGTCTCCTTCGATAGAGGGCAGTTTTCCCAGGGACTTGACAGGATAGCAGTCATTTCCAGAATCTATCGCCTCCTGTTCTGAACCCTTGCCCAGCAAACTTGAGCCAAGTTATTGCTCAGTGGATTTGTGCGCACTCAACGATTTGGAGAGCGTTCTACGGTCTATCGGAACGCTAAGCCAGCCAGGACGATCGACTTTCCTATTTCGGGAGGACAAAGTCTCCGATAAGGTTCTGTAAGCTGTCTGATCCTCATTCCGTCGGGGAGAACAGACATTCCCTGCGAACGGGATGAGCTGCTCCGATTCGACCGTCCATGAAGAAAATCACAGTCATCATCGAACTGCACACGGGACTATTCGGCGAGGAGAAGATGGGTTCATGAAGCAATCTTGTTATCGATTGGAGCAGCGGACCATGCTACCGATCAATCGGAAACATCAATCACCGCAAATTATCTCATCGGAATTCTCATCGAATGTCTAATCGCGTCCATCCCCTTCGCTCGGCGAACAAATCGATAAACCAGATTGCGTCTCTTTCCACGACGATTCTGGGTCGATGTTCTTTGCTTCCGACAGGTTCGGAGAGATTGTCTTCGCGGTGGGATTGTTGTTTCAATTTCGTGCTTGATTGAATTAGCAAACCACCGAGAATCTGAATTCGAGTGAAGAGATTTGTCTCTCATTTTCAAACTAGGCAAGAGAGTGCCCTCATGCCCTGCATTTCATGGAATTTCTCCCACCAACTCCAACCAATCGTGTAGGCCAAGGGACTCATTCTGGGCATTCTCTTCTCCAACCTGAATATCTCAACGACCGGGGACTACTGATCGGGCCGGCTCGCAGCGGTGAAGAAGAAAAATATATCTATATATAAAGAAATATATATGAGCTTACGAGAAGCTCAAAGGGGTTCACCGGTTCTGCGCTGAGCTCCGGATTCCAATAGAATTATCCCTCGTCAGTTATTCGTATGCACTCTCAACTCTCGTTTTCCTGGTGGGGATGAGGCGAAATAATCCAGAGCAGGGACGAACTGTCCATTTGTATATGGGACACGCGGATATTCGATCATGGCCGAGACCTGGAGACCGCTCCTCGCGGAAAAGTAGTCGGCCGCAGATATTTATAGGAAAATACTTGTGTCGTGATCTGCGATGAGATATAGTGGAGAAAGCGAGAAAAAACACATGGGTTATCATATCAACGTTATGTCGAAAATTTTCCTTCGTTTCCCCTGGAGCAGGGAGGCGCTGTCGATTCCTGTGGAGGCCTCTGGCCACGCTCTAAGAATACGTATGAACATGAGTCCCCTGGGAAACCATGGGCAAGGCGACGGATCAGCTCGCTGCTCCTTTCTGCCATCCTTCCGGCGGCGCAGCTTAGCTGTCTGCGCACGTTTGAGACGTTTAAGGGACGTGATTGCAAATTGCAACTTCAGTCGCTTGTCAGGCTTCAGACTAAACGGAAAGTTTCAGAGACATTGTTCATCAAAGCACAACAATATTTTGAGCCAGTATCGTGGCAGCGATCGTAGCGACTGTGGCATGACAACATGCTTGCAAACATACGGGATGACTCGACGGCGTCTATTCAACTGCTCGCTAAATTCGACACAGAAATAAGCAAAGTATTTAGGTAGACGGCTGCGGCGACACCATCTGTGGGAGCCAGCGCTTCGAGATCCTGGAATGATTTTCCGGGTATATGGAACGGATAGTCCCGCTATAATTATACTCCATCCATACGATCTGGGAAGTGCATTCAATACCAAATATGGCGGCATATAATGGCGTCAACGGATGACTCCCGGCGACTCAGTCGGAGATCCGCCGCTTCGAGCCGTCCCCGGACGATAATTGTTTTTCTTCCACGCGCGAGAAACTAATCTATTTCGAATTTAATCCGTTCGCTCCCCCCCAGAAACCGGGTCTTCTGAGCGATTCACAAGTGTTCAATCGACCGAAGATCGCCCGACTGCATGCATTCCCCGCTAAGGCGAATCGGAGCTCTCCAGTCGATAATCTGCGGAGCCGAAATTCCTGTTTCAATAACACTGGGCGTTCGGATGAGCACCATTTATTCGGCGAGTGAGCGAGGGATCGAGCCATCCCTTTAGACAGAAAGTCTGCTGATGAAGACATCGCCGTGGTTTTCGGTGGGTGTGGTTGTTTTTCCGATGGACAAACATGGTCGATGGATCCGACGGTGTCGACGCGCGTTTTCATTTTGTTCGATTCAACTTCCTCAATCAATAAATCGTCTCGCTCGCTCCTCTCTCGCCATCCTACCCGCGCCACGTCAAGGAACCGTGTGATAAAATTGTTCATTGAGCTCGTTAGCGCTCCACATTTCACACGGACGACTTTCTCTTCTGTCGACAGAATTGGCTCCAGTGGAAACTAGATAAGCCTCGACCAGCACTGCCGGAACTCGCTCGTGTTCGACATTGTTGTCGTTTCGGCCTTTTGTCATTAGGATCAGGCGAGCGATCCGCGAATGATCTCGGCTATCGCCGGAGCGATCGTAGATCGTATCTCGGTCGACGGCACCTACGATCGGGATACGTAAGATGCGGTCGATCAGAATATTTCCAGCCATTAGCTCCGTTCGATTTTGAAAGATGTTCACGCGTTCGATGGACCCGAACGAGAACATGGCCGCTTGACGCGCGCTGAAGACGTCTTCCGAACTGTGACGCTTCAGAAGCGTTGCTTGTACGGGGAGAGCAGAACCTCCTGATAGCGATGGTGCCAAGCTGCGTGATGCCCAGGTAGTCGGAGACTTGCGTCGG